AGGGAGAGTAATGATACCATACTCACCCCAATTAATGCACCCTCCTATTTATTACACCTTTACATGGCTTTAATAATAAAAACTTAGCCTCCTGGTCAAGATAATTATATTTTTGGGAGGTGTGTTGTAATTAGACATCTGTTTACAGGCATGTACATTGCTATGCGCCTCCATCTCCTCTAGCTTTCATTCATAACTGTTCCTATCTAAATAATGCAATGTAATCATTTATCAAGAGGTGTATTACACATAATTGGGCCAGTATGGTGATATTATTTGTGCACCAAAGTATTTGGATTGTGCATGCACCTGTCCTGTATCTATTTGGTGATTAATTGTGTTCTATAAATAGGCAGTTGGATTGGAAAGCATGGCATTTATATTCTATAACAGATTCCTGGATCTCAGTGAAGTAAGTATAGCCAAGAGTATAGCTATGATGATATTACTTTTAATTTTCCAATGTCAGGCTATTGAAGAGGGTTCATTGGATATGATTGATAACAGCGATTTTGTTGATACTGATATTCCATTTGAAGTACCACTACCAGAACAACCTTTCATGACAGTAAGGAATCATACATGTACAGTACAGCTGAATCTATACTCTCATTAACATGTATATCCTATACTACAGAAACTTGTTGTAAGAAGTTGTTATCAAACTACTATTAGCTCACTCTCTATTATAGATAATTTTTATGCCCCTTATGTCAATTATTTTTGCTTTATGTTTACACAATAATATACTAACACTTAACATATGTACATGTACACGTACCTATAGGATTACATTATAAAGTGCTTCTGTTTGTTATAGGAGGATAAACGAGAAGAGATTAAGGAATGGGTACTGGCCCTCTCCATGGACAGACAGGTGACTCATAACAGGAATCAATCCATTACCTTATTCCTTTAATCCAGGTGGAACAAACACTACCACTTGATGATGAGAGACAGACTTATGTTGCATCACTGACGTCACCTCATACTGGAGTCACTTTCATTACCTTGCATTGTAAACAGGTCCGGTACTAAGATAAATGTACATGTACATGTACCTTGGCCAAATATCCTTTAGAGAACTTTGTTCTATTATGCATATTTACATGTACTTTATTTTCTGTTGTGCAAAAATTCTTTTTCTGAGAGCAAAGTGTCTGTAGTGATCAAAGTAACCACAGAGTTGCCTAGGGATGGATTGTATACATTATGATCTTTGTGATAGCTATTCTATGTCTGTAAACTGTCTGAGGTACAAGAAACTATGTACATGTGTGTAGGTTATCCAGTATTGAAGCAAAAGGTTGAGTTTAAACGAGGTGGGAGGTGTGCTAACAAAGGGGACTGGACCAAGTTTGTAATGAATACAAAGGTCAGAATTATAAAGTCAAGACACTGAATAATTTCTCTCTCTCTCCCCCTTCTCTCTCCACAGGCATCTCAAAATGAAGAGTGCTTGGATGTTGTTCATTTTATAACCAAGTGGTGTGGTCAACCACTTAATCCAGCTCACACGTTCTAAGACATTAAAAGTTTACTGCATATGCCATTAACAGATACATCACTTAAGATTATTCTATCAAAAAAAGTTTTTTAAAACATTGCAGCAAAAATTAATAATTATGTTTTAGAAGTAGAAGCAGCCTCTCAGAGTGCTCCTTATTTCAGGCATCTGGTGATATATGCACGTTTCTGTTTTCCCATCCTTTTCTATTTCAACTCTCTTGGACTCACCTGCCACTTTATGATTAACAACCAGCAGTATCCTTTCAATGCTAAGCTTTGATCCATGGTTTATAATGGCATTGGACAGGGCTGTAATGTAGTGAGAGCCAGTATACTTGCCTCTCAAGGCTCTATTATTCTCCACTGTACTGAAAGCAAATAGGAAATCAGCTTCTGGAGGTAATGCAATAGAGTGACCATCAGGAACCATTACCTCCTCTTCTTCTCTGATACTGGGAGGAATTGCTAAATCAGACACCATTGGCTCTGGTATTCCAGCCCCTCGACATGCTTGAAAGACAAATATTTTTGGTTTCCTATGAAGCTTGTCACAATTAACTATATTTGCCAGTTCGGTGACAGTAACTGTTTTACCATCAAGATCAACTCCTTCAATCCCTGCTGGATTACCGTGAGACAGGATACAGCAAATGAAGCTATCGTGGTCACCAATGACATCTTTTTGAACTACTTTTTTTACAGCATCCTTGATTGCATCAGCTTCCAGGTTTTTCATGGTAATAACTTCATATCGATATTTGTCAAATGCTTCTTTAAGCTTTTCTTCATCTTCTTCTGACGAATCTCGATCCTTACTTTTATCTAGAAATTTAACATTGTTAATAATCAATACAATGCCACGATTCCTTCCTGGGTTGGTTGTGTAGTGGTACACAATATCCTCATCAGGTTTTTTCTTTTTTGACCATGGCCAATCACTGGTTACCTATTATTGGACATGAGGATAATAATCATTAGTGATGCACCGATACCGATACTAATATCGGTATCGGCCCATTTTTATCAAAATCGGTTGATATCGGTATAGCCAAAAAGAGTTACCGATATAAGAATTGTTGTAAAGTATAATGATTCTTAATAAAAATAATAATCACATCTACAAAATGACATGAAAAAAACAGTTTGAGTACAAAGAAAGCAGAAATGCTACTGTTTTAAAGAAAGAACCTACCAATTTTTAACTACCGTAGGGCACCTTTTTTTCGAGGGCTATAAATTTCGCGGATTTCGCGATTTTTTAAAGATTCGCGAAAATTACTTTCGCGAAAATCAAATTAATACGGTACAAGATGGCAGACGGCATAAATTCGCGAAAATTAAATCTGCGAAATAAAAATCCACGAAATTTATAGCCCTCGAAAAAAAGGCGCCCTACGGTATTAACATTAATGACACTAATCACTGATTGTTGTTAAGGTTAAAAATTGAATATTTTTATTCTCAAAAATATTTTCATAAAAGTATTGGTATCAGCCATGTTAATGCAATTTGCACAAAATAATCGGCTGGTTAATATCGGATTTG